AACTTACCTTGACAAGGTGTATGATTACCCCCTGACCTTCGGGCAAACTTTACAGTGATTGTCCGTGCTTTCATTGAGGTGTTCAAACAACTCAAATGCTAACAATGACCATTTCGCCAAAAAGACTGTTTTCAGTTATTTGAAGACCCAGCTAGAGGAGGTAAACAAGTAGAGATAGCACGTCCGATGGTATCCAAAAGAGTTTTTGCAAATAAAAATGGTTCTGTGCTTAGATTAGGAAGTACTTCTAAATGAATGACTCGTGTTACTGCGTAATAAAATTTAGTGCTTTTGTTTATTCTTTTTTGCAAACAAGGGTTCAATGAAGTCGATGCCATGGATGCCAAATTAGAATTATCCCACAGGTTTTCAGACAGAATTACTTCTCCATTTTCGAAGTTAACACCTACTTCTTTGATTATATTGTCTACTTCTTTAGATCTTTTGAAACTTATTCATCATTCCAAACTCCTGATAACAAATCATCGACATACAGCCATTCGTTTAATATCAAACAAGTATCAAGATACACACTGGAGTAATGTTTCACGTGGAATTTAAGTACAGCAGCTCAAAGAAACGGGCTAGGGGTAATACCAAACAGGAGACTCTAATCATTGGTAGAATTTTTGTTTGAATATCAGATACATTATCTGGTAAATTATCTATTTAAAGAAAACGTACAACATCATGATCAAGCTATTAGACTAATTTGAAGAAATGCTTTTTCAGTATCAGCAATAAATGAGATTCGGCTGATTCGAAATTAAATACACGTTAAGTATAAGTTTAAGAGATCTGGGTTTAAGTTTGGTCTAAAATGCAACAGTTCATTTAATGAAGGAGCATGAAAAGGATGCGAAGAAAGAAGCATCAAAAACAATCCTTAATTTCGCTGTATTCTTCTTCTTTCACATTACAGTAAATAATATGTCAGATTCTGAGCTGTATCGTTTTATTCAGTTGCTGTTTCTACGATTCCCAGTTGACGGTATTCTTCTATCACAGATTTGTAGTCTACATAAAAGGATGAATCCTTATAAAATCTCCGAAGTAACATATCAAGTCTTTTCTTAGTATTGTAATTATTTTCTAAATTATCACAATTACGCTTCGAAGGAAGTTGCACATCATAACGGTCTTCTTTAAAGGCTAAGCTTGATTCAAAATTTCGAAGAGCTTCTTCATCAGAAGTGGACACTCTTAGGAATCAATATGGATACCTTGGGACTCCCAGAAGCACGACGGACTTTTAAACTCCCAAAAGGCCTTTAAAAGAGACGACGTTAACTGCTCATCATCAAAACTTTTCATAAGTAGAGCGTTTAAATCTTTAGCTGATAATGCTTAGATATTAAAAGAGGAATATGCAACTGGATTTTGAATAGATGATCCCATCGGTGTATCTATTAACATCACCGATGAACTTAACCATTTTGTTTAACCTGAAACTATTTCAAAAAAATAATCTGATCCGATTAGAATTTCAGTTTCATGGTTATTACATTCACCATCTTCATAACGAGATAATTTAATATTCAGATTGGATTTATTTATTCATTTCCTTGTTAAGAATTTTTATTGAAGCATCACAAAATTCTTAAAGACTTAGAGCCGATGAGTTAGAGATATTAATGACAAAATGATATCCACCTAACGATTATTATTATTGATTATAATTCAAGAAATTTAGAAATGTTAATGATAGCCTATGTTCTGAGTGATTATTCGTGTACATAATGTGATGCATACGTATTGTGATGCTATAGAAAGTGCATTAACAAAAGTGTTGAACGATTTCTCACCATTAACTGAATTTATATACATATATCTGTCATACACGCAGCTTAATTTGTGTTAGATGCGCCCTTTTTCTTCAGTAATTAATGCGTGCTTTGAACATATTTACAGTATTATAATTAGAGTGTGAAACAGAAATGGTGGAATATACCATATTAGTATGAAAGAGAAGCACGAGAAAAAATTGTGAAGATTATGATATCGACGGTACATTAAGAGTAGTAAAGTTATGCTTCTGTTTTGTTTCTATTTATGGGTTAAACGCAAAGAGATCACATTTTGCAATTTACCATAAAATTCCGCTTTTTCCGTTATGAAAATGTAAATGAGCATTATATAAGATCGTATGATAAGTACTAATTTTGAAATGACGCAGCTTGAAAAAATTTTGAAATGACGCAGCTTCTTTTGCATATTTATTATAAGCATATTACTAGTTTTCGGACAGAGAGATGAAATAACCAACTTGAAGGGTGATTTAAGGGCTATTATAAATTAAAGTTGTAGAGACATTAGGTTATTTTACTAGCAGCGAACATGAAAATGAGCAACATCTTCGTCGGGAATCGAATCACAGATCTCGTGAATACGCGTCGAGCGTGCTGACCACTACACTACGAAGGAATGCTAAGAAGGAGAGAGAAATACCTTATATACTCTCCCTTTTAAAGGGCGACTGGGGTTTTTAGGGGACCTATTCGCCAAATCCTGGTGGTGAAGAATCACCATTCACCATCTTTTAGCTCGGGCTGTAGAGACATTAGGTCTTTTCGGAAGCAGGAGAGATGAAAAACGAGCAATGCCCTAGTCGGGCTCAAACCACGCGGACCTCTCGAATTCGCGTCGAACGTGCTGACCACTACACCACGAAGGCAAGCTAAAAAGGCGGGAGAAATACCTTATAAAGGTAGAGTTTTATCGCATACATATACGTATATGCGTATATATTCTAATACATAATTTGTTGTCCAAGAAAACTGTCATTTAAGAAATCTAGATCTAGTTTAAACTTTTCATGTTTTGATAAGCTAATTCGTGAAGTTTCAGTTTCCTTGATACAAGATTAAAATTTACACAGTACAATTTTTATTATCATAAATGGTTTCGTAGTAGCAGTTTATAATCATAAATTTTAAAGTTGCTAATTTATGATTTATCTCTCCGTGTTTCTATTTTATCATCAACAGAGAAGATTGTAGCTTCAAACACAACGGAAATCAAAACAGCCTGACTGACTGGGACCACGGGCCACCCGAGTATTCGAAGACTCTCAGTGATATGATCGTCTTTCTTTGACAGAATGAATATTTAACATGAGATAGTCAGGAGTTTTTTTTTTTTTTTTTCCATCAGATATTTCAACAAAGATTACACCGTCAAATAAAGAGTAAAATACGGTAAACTTTTTCTAAGTTGACCATCCATGATTTTGAATGAATTTGAGTTTGGATGATTTACTGCGGATGTAGTCGTCTTTAAAAGATTATTTTGTTCCCTCCTTCCAGCACACCTTCGTGGTGTAACGGTTAGCGCACTCGGAGCATATTTGAGAGGTCCAGGTTCGAGTCCTGTCGAAGGCATTGCTCATTTTTTGTGCTTCCTACTTTAAAAAACGTAATGTCTTTAGAGTGGAGCCCAAGCTAAAAAAGGTGGTGGATGATAATTCTTAACCAGGATTTTGCGACTGTGTCTCGTAATCCCAGTCGCCCTTTAAAAGGGGAAGTATATAAGGTATTTTCTTCCTCCTTCCAGCATGCCTTTCTTGGTGTAACAGTTAGCACACTCGGTGCGTATGCGTAGATTCGAGTCCCGGCAAGAACATTGCTCATTTTCCATGTCCCCTTCTTCCAAATAACCTAATGTATCTACAAGGTAATGGTTTGTTTGGTTTAGCTGATTATGGCAGATCACACTCGGTCTATCTGCTTAAGGAGGGGAGGGATGCCTTCATGGAGGACTTTCTAAAGGAAACTGGCTCGTATACACATTTCTTGTAGGGAACACCACAAAATGGCAATGCAGCCAGGCTGTTCGCCTTCAGTGGAACCAAGTTCGACCCAGGTCAGAACTACCGATGTTCAGCTATTTTACCGCTCGGCGCTAGTGGGCCTTTTTAAATAGTAATATTCGCTTCTGATATTCATTGAAATTATTAAAACACATTTCTTTTTCAAATGAAATAAAACCGTGGCATTAATATTATGCATGAAGGTGCAGAAACTAAACAAAAAATAGTAAGCTTATAAACAGCAGCTTCTTTGCTTCTCAAATAGTTTTTTAATGAATACTGTTTGGTTCGGCCCTTTAATGGTTGTCAGAAGTACAGAGGCTGTTTGCACATTTTTTAGACGACTTTACTTTGCTATAAAAAATCAGCCGCTTGGAAAATATTTTTTAGTTGCAACTATATTTTTGAAAGTGTAAATTATCGTCTGCTACTTGGGAATCTTGTTTTCATACAAAATGGCGTTTTTGAAGAAACAATGAACGGAAGGCTATGTTTGCCTTCTTTCCGAATAAATTTATTTGTATTTAGTTATTAAAAGTGCTGTGAAAGGCATGCCTTTTCGGTATCTAAAGCAGTGATAAATAATATTTATTGTCAATAAGAAAGGGAAAAAAAAAAAAAGTCAAAATTTGGCTTCAAGGAGAAAAATTGTTCAAAGAACACATCCAAGTAGAAAACGGAATGTTTCGAATGTTGCAAAGGTAAAAACTATCATCTTAAAAGAAAACCTTCGAAATCAAAGGACCGTTGCATCGTCGTTAAAATTATCTGTGTTAATTGTAAACAAAGTAATTAATGCTGATTTGAATTTTAAAAAGGAAAAAAAAACGTAATGTGCATCGTCTTTCTCCACGATATATCGCCGAAACCTGAAAGCGCTGCAGAATTCTCTATTGGAAACAATTATTCGGGCAAAAATGGAAAAATGTTGTCATCATAGATGAATCTCGGTATATTTAAATGACCGCAATAAAAAGAGATCCATTTACTATTATCAAAGATAAGAAAAAACCTTAGAATGTAGTTCAAAGAATCTAAAGAAAGTTTTCCGAAGGAATTTATGAATATTGCTGGTTTTTGATATAAAGACAAATGAAAATTAAAGACACTGCAGAAAACTTTTAAATTCAACTCCATATTATCAGAAACATATTTTATACCCAATTTTCAAATATGAAATACCTTCTCTTACCCACAGTGCCATCAATTAGTAGAACTGCATCAAGACAAAGCAAGCAGCCGCACGTCAAAATCCACAGTCAGTTTCCTGGAAAAAAATGGAACAAGAAACGTTTATGAAGGCCATACTCTTCACTCATATCCCTACTAAATCTCTTGATTTACCACCTATGGGTTTTTGCGCTTTGGGGTGTTTAAAAAGCGGATTGTCCAAAAGTCGACTCACAACCGTCTTTGGACTTTGGAAAGCCGTTCAAGAGGAATGGGCAACATACCTTTCCCGCTACTAAAAAAAAACTTTATTGTCTTAAAAATTGCGGTGCAGAAAGATAGTGAAGAATAAGGTTTATGAAATGGAACATTTAGAGCACAAAAATTTATGTAAAATATTTCTGTAAATACAGGATCGGCCAAATAAGACCTAACAATGTTAAACACAAATAACATTTTAATTTTGAGCTATAATTATTTTTTTCTTTCTGTAGGTTATAATTGAATTTTTAGAAATTTATTATGAAACCATACAGTACAAAACAACGCGTTAAAATTATCGAATTTTTCTATTCTTGTCAACGATCAATTGTTAATAGCGTAAATATCGGCAATATTTTAATTCAGGTGTACTGTTTGGTGCGGTGTTATGGCAATAGAGTTATCGGCCCGTATTTCTTCGAAAATGAGGATGGAACGCCGGAAACGATTTTCGGAGCTTCTTACAATACAACGATTGAAAACTTTTTGCGGCCAATGGCGGAGCAGATTCCTTTTTTTATGGGGATATTTAAAAGACAAAGTGTATGTTAATAAACCAGAGACTTTTAGCTGAAGCTGAAATACTGAGGCTTCAACCAGAAACATTACATGGTGTAATGGAAAACGTGTTAAAAAGAGCAAATCTCCGTATCGAGAAAAATGTGGACATTTGTCTGATGTCATATTTCTTACATAATTTCCATAAAATATATTTAATGTATAAAATTAATCAAAATAAATGATTATTACAAGAGTTATCTGTGTTTAACTTTAGTAGGTCTTATTTGGTCTACCCTATACAATGGAAATCGTCTTTAAACAATGTACGAATTTGAACTTTGAAAAAAAAAAAAAAAATTGGCCCGTCAGCTGCTTAAAGATTATTCGGTATGCATCGAGTCTCAGTGTGAGACCACTTATCATAAAAAGTTAATCACCGTGACAAGTTTCTCCTAAATTGCCATACGAAAATTATTTTTATAAATCTTAGCAATACATGCATTTAAGAATTAATGCCCAGAATTGTCTAAAATGAGATTTTCCTAAATTTATTTTGAGATAATGAGTTTGCAAATCAGCATGCTGTGATAATATATTAGCCCTTGTAATGAAAATAACTTAAATTAGATTTAAAAACGTAAAATGCTTTCTGCCCACAAAATATGTCACACCAGAACGAGAAATGATAAATATTATTCAAGTATTAAACAGCCTGGAAATTAGAAGTGTTCGGAATTCTTTAAATATACGCCCAACTTTGTGTGTCCATGTTGTTCAACGCCATTCCAACGCTATATATTGTCATTATGACAATTAACACGAATTAACCAAATTTATCATAAATTAAGTTTGTGCGTTATTGAATACATTTTTGGTGCGAAGAGGTAGGCATCGTAGTGGTGCACCCTGGATAATGCAAAATCCAACACAGTGGCACAGCATCAATTTTGTGTGCTTTTAAATTCCATTTTGTATAGTTTTAATTTGTGTTGTGTGCTTCTACACACCAATGAATAATCTTGTATTAAGAGCTACCGTTAGAAATTTTAAAAAAAATATTGTTACAAAAATTGTATAGAGTAACATGGAAAGTTTGAAGAGAATAAGCTCCATTGGAAAAATAAGGTTACAGGAGGAATTTAATTAAACATTGAAGTAAATGGCTTTCTCGCTAAACTGGCAAGATATCGCCTAGCTAGCGATGGTTTTGGCAGCTCGCCAGAAGTCTCCAAACTTACGAGTCATTTTGGTTTGGTCCCTGTAAAACTGTAATTGGTACTGTAATTGATCTAACTGTATCTGTATATGGAAGGTACTGGAAATTTCTCGGCAGCCGGGGGAAAACTATGTGAGACCGGAGAGATTATCAGTTTTCAGCTTTTAGTTCAGAGCGGACTTCGGAATACTGGGAGATCTCTGGGCGAGCTTCGCTCTTTAAATGCGCTTTGCATTGCGTTGTGTTTGGCGTTCCTAGTAGTCTGAAGTGGTAACTACTGATTGTGATGTGTCATATCAAGAAGAGCTGCATGAGTTCTTTTGTTGAAAGTTTCAGACCTGTAAAGTGTTTCTTTTGCTAAAATAAACTTTATCTGGTTACCATCGGTTCTGTGTGCATTTAATCTATTACAAACCCGTACACATGTAACAATATGTAACATACAGCTGATATAAAGGCATTTAAAAACTGACTCGAATTAAAAAATAAATAAATAGAAATAAAAAAATTCGATAAAAAGGCTTCAAAAATGCCTAAGCTTCAAATGTGCACTTGCCATCGAATTTAGAAATGAGCAACAGAAATAGGTATCGTTAATGCTGAGTTGAGTGTATAACATTCATTCAACAAAACCTCCCTGTAATATGATGAAAATTCAATGCTAGGAAGCCACTTAAATTAGAAGCTAGGGAAGGAGAAGAGGGAAAAAAAAAAGAACATTTTCGTTGCTTATAACGTAATCATCACCACCCTGTTAACACCCAAGAGTCGCAGAGTGACACATATTTACGAACCAAATCTCCTGCTCTTGGAGCATCTAATCTCTCTCATAACGCCTGCAACCATTCCAAGAAACGAGCGATTCAAAGAAATCAGAGCGTAAATCATAAACACCGGGATTTTATTTTACGTCTTCTTTTTTTTTTTTTTTTTTAATAAATTTTTTGTTGATAAGAAGGCCACCACGCCACGGCAATAATGCGAATTGCAGGAGGATTCTTCACTCTCTCTCAACACGTGCTCGAATATCTCATGGAAGTTAATTAATTCGTATGGGGAATGTCTTAATGAATGAGTCAGGGAAATTGAACTTAGTTGGTACTATCAAATGAGGCGGAAGGGTTTAGAGTTACGCTTGTTTTGTTACGGAAGATGAGTTACTAGACGGAAATTCGGGCCAGGAATTCCGCAAGGTCAGTTCTGTGATGACTGAGATTTGGTGTGCTACTTTTGAACGGGTTTTGCTGAAATAAATCGAATTTTATCGTCATAAATAGTCGACGTGTACGTAGCCTATATTTAAACTCGTTACATTCTCATAAATGTTCTTGAATTTCAAATTGCATTGAAGGTTAGAAGCCTCCTTACTTTTAAGTCTTGCTCGTATCTCTCAAATTGAAATCATTAAATGTCATTCCACTAAATGACAAACTTGCAAATTTAACGCCATGCCTGCTAACAGGCAAACCCAAAAAACATTTCTATGAAAAACATTTAACTGTATTTAATGATTACTGCGGCACTTGACATATTAAATATATAGGACAGATTAAAAAAATCTTAACTTTCGAATCAATAACCATAGAGCTCAAATCAAAAAAATTCAACGCACAAAAAATAGATAAAATAAGTACACCATTCACAATCAATACAGCAGAATTAGAGCACTTTAACACCATGACTTCAACTCTATTCAACTTCAGATACTAGATATAATACCAAACACAAAACGAATTTTTCAGGAATCTCTCTATATACTAAAACAACGTTCACTTTATCCATATGGACTTAACACTT